TAATTCAAATACTACTACATTTTGTTTTTTCTAAGCCACTACTAGTAAAAGTTGTTGATTGGTTGCCTATAATGCTTTTTAAGCTACTTTGAATATCAAAACATGATACATGTGACTTCATCTCAAACTTGTGTTGTCATTTGTGAAAAAGCTTACATTGTGTCAGCAGTGTTAGAGGAATTCTTGATATTTTAAGAGCCATCGGTTTTTCATTGATCAGTTTCTCGTTGTTTACTCTTCTCTCTTCACAGGTTCAAGAATGTTATTTTTGAGATTTCTCCATCAGAGGCTGTCGGCGTTTTTGATGTGAAGGCCAAATTAATGGGCGTGCACTTGGAGACGTTACAGTTAGAATATCAGGTATTATTTCTTTTGTTTCCCGACTGATCAGTAGGCAGATAGTGAACACTGGCGCACATTTAAGATACAGTTGGATGTGATTGATTTTAAGATCTTTTTCTCTTTGTGTCTCAGGATCTCCTCCAGCTGCAGTATGAAGGCGTGGCGGTGATGAAGCTCTTCGATAGGGCCACTATCAATGTCAACCTGCTCATTTTCCTGCTCAACAAGAAATTTTATGGGAAATAGAAAAAGAGAAAAGGATAAAAGGGCTACAGACACTGATTTAAACCACAACATCCTCTTTGAGGGTTGCAGAAAGCCCTGACCTGAACCACCCTGGCTTTCCTACACATTCCCTACTGCACTTCTCTCTAGTGCCTATGCAAAATTTATGTGCATTATTTTTTTATTATGTTGATCACAATATGTTCTTTATTCTTAATGGAACACTCCATTGTGCGACTCAAGCCGGCACACCAAAGAAGTTCGCTGGAGTCTTTTTCTTATTGTCTGTAACTGCAGCAAGGTCAGAGGTTTAAGATTTGTATGTTTTGCTTTAAATATTATGAATATCTTGTGCATGGGCTTCGATTAATTATAAAAATGTATGTTTTATGTAAAGAGATCATGTTTTGTGTCTTTCTTAGCTGTTAGTTTATTTGCTGACCTGACTGATAAAGGCCTGAAAAATATCTCCACCATCAATAACAAAGCGCCAGCATACTTCTCAGCAGGGCTGTAGTGTATGAGACGACTCTTGTCTCCTCTGGACTATTTCTCTGTTGGACTTTGTGTTGCTGTAAACGTTAAAAGTTGTGTGGGGGGGGGGGGAT